GCTGGACCTCCATCTGTCAGCCTTGCAGTGCAGAGGGAGAGCTGGAGATGCGGGAAAAGGCTGTTGGAGCCTGGCTGCTGGAATCCCAGATTGAAACACTCACCCCAATTTTTATTTATTAGATTTAGAAACCACCCTTCTAAGTCTGAGTGTGAGGGGGAGGCCAGGAGTCCTGTCTCATGCTGTGTGTAGGAGCAAGAGACATGGATGGCGAGGGAGCTGCTGCAGTGACCTGCCACATCTGTGCCATGTTTGTCCTCCTGCCTGAGAATGTGCAGAATTACACCTGCAGCAGATGCAGGAAGAGAAGGAACAGCAAGCTGAGGTCCGCCTATCTGCCCTACGAGCTCCTGAGCAAGATGAGGGATTTCTCGAAAGAGAGCAGAGTGGATGTTCCTGGGACAGCAACACAGTTGGCCCCAGCCAGGAGGAAGATTGCTGGTTGCAGGAAACGAAAACCTGGAGGAATGTGGTACAGAGAAACGGGGCTGTTAGGAACCCTGATGTGTCACTCGAGCTGCAAAATCAATTCTGGGTCAGAGGAGCAAGATGCAGACCTCAGAACGCACCAAGGTGGCTATGGAAGGGGCAGGGTATGGAGCAATTCCTACCACTCCCCAGCGGAGGAAGAGGGATGTGATGGTGGTACGTGACTTCCTACTAAGGGGGACAGAGGCAGCAGTGTGTGGAGGTAACAGGATCAGTGTTAGAAACTCATATATAGAAGCTAGGTGCCAAATGTATTGTTAAATCAAGGTTACAGCCGCCCAAAATTGAATGTCTAGGAGTCATGAGAAGAGAAGACTCCCTGGAAAACACCCTGATGTTGGGAAAGATTGGGGGCACAAGGAGAAGGGAACAACAGAGGACGAGGTGGTTGGACAGTGTTCTCAAAGCTACCAGCATGAGTTTGACCAAACTGCGGGAGGCATTGGAAGACAGGAGTGCCTGGCGTGCTCTGGTCCAGGGGGTCACGAAGAGTCGGACACAACTAAACGACTAAACAACAACAACAGTTGCCATTTTGGGGTAGGATGTCTCTAAAGTCTTATTTCTAAAACGATGGACAGATTGTGATTGATTCTCAGTTAAACATCTGGCTAGTTCAAAGGACAACCTTGTGCTAGGTTTAAGAACTTCTGAGAACTTAAAGAAGAAATGCCCTTTGATCCAGGGACAGTACACATAGATATTGGCCTATTGTGACTTCTTTTTCTTAATGGTGACACAGACCATTCATAATGAAAGATGATTCTTCACAACAAGTGTGAGAGGGCAGTGGAGACAAGAGACGTCAGTTCACTATCACATTGTTCACTGCTGCTGTTCACTGGATCAGTGATTTTGTTTAAATGAGCTACACATACTGTAGGGTCTCAGTGCATACTGAAAGGACATACCCCTCAATCTTTCCTGCTCAGTGTTTTTCTTTTTTTGGTTTTGGGCAGGGAGATGAGCTCAGACTCATCATACCAGAGTCTCTCGTTTGTCAAATAAGTAAAGCATAAGTGTTATTGATGCTATTATGTTACTGTAAAAATCTTCAAAAAAGTTCGTCTTGTGAAGAAGCAAAGACAACACAAACCTGGGAGTCTCTGTAGATTTTGCATAGTTATTTTAAGGTGGGGGGGCCTCTGAATTCTGCGCCAGCTGAAGTTACTGAACCCTCTTCAGAGGCAGCCCTACATATAACACATTGCAGCAATCCAATCTTGAGGTTACCAGAGCAATTATTATTTATTAAATTTGTTAATCACACTTCATCTAAAGACCACGGAGCAATTATAATGGTGTATAATTCTCCATCAGTCGCCTGGGCAATAATGGATAGGGAATGTGCCTCCTCATCCCATAGTCAGGACACAGCACTATCCTTGTAGGAATTTTCTGCCCAAGCCTCTCTCACTGTCCTCCTTTGGGGTGGGGGCCATGGACTCCTCGCCCCCCACCCCAAGGGAGAGCCCCACCTGTGCTCCAACAGGGAAGATCTGCAACACGGGAAAAGGTGGATATTAAAGGTCCAGAGGCCTGATTGTGGGGAAGAAGGGAAAGAGAGAGGAGGTGGAAGCAGGGATGTTTCCATGGGAAGAGATTAAAAAGGTGAGTATAAAGAAGAAGTCAGCCTTCAAATCGGGGGCATTGTACCTGGCTCCCTTTCCGACTCAGAACCTGAGAGACACTCCCTTCTGGAACATATCCAGGCCATTTTCTGGAATACAGTGCTGCCTCGCAAGATGAAATTAATTCGTTCCGCAAGTTTTGTCGTCTTGCGAGTTTTTCGTCTTGCGAAGCACGGTTTCCCATAGGAATGCATTGAAAATCAATCAATGCGTTCCTAAGGAGACCGTCGGGGACAGAGGGGAAGCGCCGCGCGCCTTCCCCTCTGTCCCCGGACCTGTTTTAAAGCAAGGGGCAGTGGGGAGAAGATTGCTTCTCCCCGTTGCCTGCCCCGCAATCTCCGGGGACAGAGGGGAAGGCGTGCCTTCCCCTCTGTCCTCTTTTGAAACAAGGGGCGGAGGGGAGAAGATCGCTTCTCCGCGTTGCCGCCCCTTGGTTCAAAAGGGGTCCGGGGAGAAAGGGGAAGACGCGCGCGCCTTCCCCTCTGTTCCCTCTTTTGAAGCAAGGGGCGGAGGCGAGAAGATCGCTGCCGCCTTCGCTGCCGCCCGCCAGCATTTTAAAATCGCCCCGGACAGCGGAGAAGTCCTTCGCTGTCCCGGGGTTTTTAAAAAACCTCTCCACCCCCCCCGCCAGGCTTCGGAGCTGCCTTCCGAAGCCTGGCGGCGGGAGGAGGTCTCTCCGCCCCCTCGCCAGGCTTCGGAGGAGGTCCGAGGACAGTGGAGAAGACGCCCTGCGCTTCCCCGCTGTCCCGGAGATTTCCCTATAGGCTTTCGTCTTGCGAAGGAAGCCCATAGGGAAATTCGTTTTGCGAAGCGTCTCCAAAACGGAAAACCCTTTCGTCTAGCGGGTTTTCCGTCTTGCGAGGCGTTCGTCTTGCGGGGCACCACTGTATAAGCTAGGCATCTTTGGGGACATCATCCAGACCTTCTTTTACTATGGGAACCTTGGAATCATACAGATGTCAGATGTACAGATGTACAGATGTTAATCACAATCCCTGAAAAATCGTCTAAAGACCCCTTGGTATCCACGCCCACCTTGAACTCCCAAGTCACACTGAGCCCCAAAAAACTTCTGCTGAGGTTTCTCTGAAAATACTTATTATCTGTGTTTTGTTTTCTCCTTCCTCTATGATCTGGAACATCCTCCTGATGCATTTGTCTGTCTCTGCTCTGTCCTCTTTTGTTTCACTCGTCATTTATCAATCCCCCCTTTTCCTCCAAGGAGGCAGGTGAGGCCAAGAGGCAAGACCCCCCAGGGGAATTTAACCCCCTGCCTCCCAGGTCCTTGTCGGACACTCTTTCTTCTCAGGCTGGTCTCATTCAGGGGCTTCACCCGAGGCTCCAATTGCTTTGACTAGAAGCCTCCTCGAGCTTCAAGTGCCCCTCTGCTCTCCCCTCCCAGTGGACCAATGGTCTGGCTTGGAAGAATGCAGATCTTCATCTTGTGGTGAAGAAAGGAAAGAGAGAGGAGGTGGAAGCAGGGATGTTTCCACAGGAAGAGATTCAAAAGGTGAGTATAAATCAGGGTCATTGTACCTGGCTCCCTTTCCGACTCAGAACCTGAGAGACACTCCCTTCTGGAACATATCCAGGCCATTTTCTGGAATATAAGCCAGGCATCTTTGGGGACAGCATCCAGACCTTCTTTTACTGTGGGAACCTTGGATCCATATGGTTGCTGGAGTACAGATGTCAATCATAATCCCTGAAAAATCGTCTAAAGACCCCTTGGTATCCACGCCCACCTTGAACTCCCAAGTGACACTGAGCCCCAAGAAACCTTCTCTGCTAAGGTTTCTCTGAAAATACTTATTCTCTGCATTTTGTTTTCTCCTTCCTCTATGATCTGGAACATCCTCCTGATGCGTTTGTCTGTCTCTGTTCTGTCCTCTTTTGTTTCACTCGTCATTTATCAATCCCCCCTTTTCCTCCAAGGAGGCAGGTGAGGCCAAGAGGCAAGACCCCCCAGGGGAATTTAACCCCCTGCCTCCCAGGTCCTTGTCGGACACTCTTTCTTCTCAGGCTGGTCTCATTCAGGGGCTTCACCCGAGGCTCCAATTGCTTTGACTAGAAGCCTCCTCAAGCAATCTTAGAATGATTGTTATTCTTCTTATGTTTATCTATACCCCACCTTTTTATCCTGACACGGACTCCTTCAAGTGCCCCTCTGCTCTCCTCTCCCAATGGACCAATGGTCTGGCTTGCAAGAATGCAGATCTCGGGGTCTGGAGCTCTGGAGCTCCCAGCATCCGAGGCAGCAGCTTCCCTGGGACAAAATGGGGGGGGGAGGGGGTTCAGCTTGCAGGAATCCTTCTCTAGGTCAATGGAGAAGCCAAGGCAGCCCCTGCAGAAACCCCCCTGCCAGCACCCCAGGTGGAGGCATCCCAGAAAAAGGCCCCGTGCCTCTTTCCTTCTCCACCCCCCCGTCATTTATCAACATGGCGTCTCACCCCCAGGGACGCTTCCATTCAACCCTCAGCCCCCCAACATCCTCTGCTCCCCCCCTCTTCCCCAAAGTCTCCCCTACACCCTCTGGCCTTCCTTGGCACGGCTCGCCCTGCTTGGGGGTGGGGGCTTTTGGGGGCACCCCCTTGGTGGGAAAACGTGTCTGGTTTGTGTGGGGGGCTTCAAAGGAGACGGCGCAAGGGAAACACTGCGGGTGGGGGGGTCCACGCTTTGCAGCTGCATTGCACGGATGCGAGCCTCTCCATATGGGTCCCAGGACAAGAGATTAATGGGGGGGGGCTCTGTGCCCCTTTCTCTCCGACCTCATCGCCCCCCCCCCGCCCTCGTCCCAAGGCAGGAGCTTTTGGGGGAGCAAGAAAGGGTCTCTCTATCCTTTTCCTCCCCCCCTTCCCTCCCCTCCACCGGCATCTTTACCTCTTTCTCCTCTGACCATCCGCCTCCCTTCGTAGCTATTCCGATTTCCTTTCTTGCAATGCAAAGCGGAGAAGGGGGGATCCGTGGTCGACTGGCGCCCCTCTTTCCCTTTCTGAGACCTCTCGCTTCTCCAGGGGCTCCTTCTGCCCCCCCCCCCACTTCCTGCTAACTTCCGACCCACAGAGAGACCCCTTCCTGGGAGAAGTCCCTTCCTCTTTTCGCATGGGAGCCGGACGTGACAGCGCTGCCTTCGGCTTCCTCCCCTTTGGGCTCCCTTGCGAAGTTGCCCAACTCCACGCCCACCCCATTGACGGGGGAGGGGGTTTCTGGAGGAGGAGGAGCACGGCCGGATCAAGACCCTTTGGTCCCTGACAGAGAACCCAAACAGACTCCAAACTCTGCAGACAGCATTTTCCAGCTGCTGCCTGGACCACCGAGCAGGGAGGGGAGAGATGCTCTTGGGCTGAAATTCTCCTTGCAGGATTCCCAAAACGGGCATCTGGTTTCCCACTGGGACTCCGGGAGAGCAGGATTCGGGCGAGATGGGACCCTTGGTCTGCTCCAACTATAGGGCCTTCTTATGTTCTGTGTGTGCGCATTCACACGTGTGTGTGTGTGTGTGGTTTGTGTGTATGCACCTTCAGGGAGATTCACTGGCTCTTCTCTGCAAGGAAGATGAACCAGGTGTGCACCCACGTCCCTTCATGGGGGGGTGGAATCTCTTCTTTCCTCACCTGTCCAGCATTTTCCCTGTCTGCTCTCTCTCGCTCCGCCCCCACATCCCACCGACATTGTAAAGATAAAGGTAAAGGGACCCCTGACCATTAGGTCCAGTCGTGGCCGACTCTGGGGTTGCGGCGCTCATCTCGCTTTATTGGCCGAGGGAGCGGGCTTACAGCTTCTGGGTCATGTGGCCAGCATGACTAAGCTGCTTCAGGTGAACCAGAGCAGCGCATGAAAACGCCGCTTACCTTCCCGCTGGAGCGGTACCTATTTATCTACTTGCACTTTGACGTGCTTTCGAACTGCTAGGTTGGCAGGAGCAGGGACCGAGCAATTGGAGCTCAACCCCCCCCCCCCCCCGTCAAGGGGATTTGAACCGCCGACCTTCCGATTGGCAAGTCCTAGGCTCTGTGGTCTAGACCACAGCGCCACCCGCGTCCCTTCGCCACCGACGTTGTACCCCCCACCAAAACAAAAGTTTGCTGCACCTCAAGGCGCTTTGCACTCAGCCCGATTCCTGGGAGGTCAGGAGCGGCAGGAGGTGCGAGGGGAGGGGCAGTCTTTCTTGTAAGCCACGCCCCCTTTCTAGGGGCAGGTGCTGGGCGATGGGGAGGGCGAGCACCCAGCCTCCCTTTCTCTCTTTCCCTCTGGGAAATTGCATTAACTGGCTTTAATCCTGAAGGGAACAAGACGTGTAACAAGATCGTGCCCTCCACCCAGCCAGAAGGAA